CGTTGGGGGTCTTCCTCCTTTTCTCTGACCCTCCACCTAACCAAACATGATATCCTTCTCCATCGACTGCTCCCTTCTGAAAATATGTCCGAAGTATGAGAGACAAAGTTTGGTCATCTTGGCCTCCAAGGAGCACTCTAGCTGCACTTCTTCCAAAATGGATCTATTGGTTCTTTTGGCAGCCTATGACACTTTTAATATTCTCCTCCACGACCATAACTCAAAAGCATCAATTCTTCTACAGTTGCTTATTCACTGCCCAGCTTTCCCATGCATATGAGGTTATTGAAAATACCATGGGTCAGGTGCACCTTAGTCCTTAGAAAGATGCTTACCTGTATTTTATTGACTATGCAAAGGCTTTCAATTGTGTGGATCATGGCAAGCTATGGATAACATTGAGAAGTATAAGTATTCCTGAACACTTAATTGTGCTCATGAGGAATCCGTACATGGACCAAGAGGCAGTTGTTTGAACAGAACATGGGAACACTGAATGATTTAAATTAAGAAATGTGTGTGACACAGTTATATTCTTTCACCATACTTATTCAACCTGTATGCTGAGCAAATAATCTGAGAAGCTGGGTTATATGAAGGAAAACGTGGCATCAGGACTGGAGGAAGACTCATTAACAACCTGCGATATGCAGATGATACAACATTGCTTGCTGAAAGTGAAGAGGACTTAAAATATTTACTGATGAAGATCAAAGAACACAGCTTTTGATATGGATTGCATCTCAATGATAAGAAAACAAAAATCCTAACCACTGGGCCAATAAACAACATTATCAACAGTGAAAAGATTGAAGCTGTCAAGGACTTCATTTTTCTTAGATCAACTATCAACACTCATGGAAGCAGCAGTCAAGAAATCAAATGACATATTGCATTAGGCAAATCTGCTGTACAAGATCTTTTTAAAGTGTTAAGAGCAAAGATGTCAGCTTAAGGACTAAGGTGCGTCTGACCCAAGCCATGGTATTTTCAATAACCTCTTATGCAAGGGAAAGTTGGGCAGTGAATAAGGAAGATTGTAGAAGAATTGATGCTTTTGAGTTATGGTGCTGGGGAAGAATATTGAAAGTGCCATGGGCTGTCAAAAGAACCAACAGATCTGTGTTGGAAGAAGTACGGCCAGAATGCTCCTTGGAGGCCAAGATGGCCAAATTTCACTTCTCATACTTTGGACATATTGTCAGGAGGGAGCAGTCACTGGAGAAGTATATCATGTTTGGTAAGGTGGAGGATCATAGAAAAAGAGGAAGACCCCCAGCGAGATGGATTGGCCAAGTGGCAGCATCAATGGGCTGAAGCGTGGCAACAATTGTGAGATTGGCCCAGGAATGGGCAGTGATTTATTCTGTTTTGTGTAGGGTTGCTATGAGTCAGTATCGACTCGATGGCACCTAACAACAACAAATGATGCTGACTAGGTTCCAGCAGAGCTTCTAGATTAAGGCATATTAGGAAGAAAAGCCTGGTGATCTAATTCAGAAAATCAGCCCATGAAAACCCTATGAGTTGCAATAGTACAATCTATAACTGATCATGTTAATAGCACAGAACTTGGAGTATTTGGTTGCATTGTGCATAAGTTCATCATGAGTCAGAGCTGATGGCAGCTAACCATAACATTCCTGTCATACAGATGAGTAATTCAGATAGGTTAAATTGCTGTGTGATGTTAGGGAAGTGATTTAACCTATCTGATCTACTGATCTGTATTATGGGAATATTATGGTTAGCTGTCATCAGTGCAGACTCATAATAAAAGGTATAACATTTGCTTGAAGATTATGTGGATATTTTCTGTACTTTAATCTCCTTAATTTTTATAACTTGAAAACTCACCACTGTGACAGAACACAGAAGCTGTGCTGAGGATGACCATAATTTTTCACTGAGACTGATCACTTCAAGAACAGTTTTAAAAATCATCTCAAACAAGATAGAGTTAATTTTCCTCCACAGCTTTAAGCTTTAAATTTGTAATTTTGTATTCAATATTCTTCCCCAACACCACAGTTCTAAAGGAACAACAATAAAAAACAAAACAAAACTCAGTATTAGAAGAAAAAACAACCAGAATGTACTATAGACGTGAGATTGGTGACATTTCTCATTTGGACACATCTTCAGGAACAGTTAATGGCTAAAAACGGACACCATGTTTAATAGGGGGCCAATGAGAACAAAGGAAGCCCTCAATGCTATGAATAGACATAATCACAGCAACAATGAACTGAAACACTCAGAATCATTAAGATATCCAGGACTAGGCAATGTTCTGTTCTGTTATACGCAGGGTCACTATATTTTAAACTGACTTGATGGTAACTAACAAGAGCAACAACATAATTTTGTATGTATTGTGGCCTATGCTTTAAGACATTAAGAAAATGCTTATCATGTTCTATTGATTGTAACTTCTTTTGAAAATCAAAGCAAACTTTCCATCTGCAAAATGAGTTACTTATGATAGACATATCACATCACCATGTGTTAGGGTATGTAAAAAGATTTCTTCTCAAATTCTTCACAGCTCTATGAAGTAAGAATTAATATTTTCATTTTGGAGATCAGGAGGATTTCAGTAATTTGCCTACATTCACACAACTAGTAAATAACTTAGCCAAAATACGGAGCCATGTTTGTCTGTTTACAAATTCTGTGTCCTTTCTACCACAAAATAAGGTTATGTATGTAACATATAAGAATCACACAAAGAACCAGAGTCTTGCCTTTATTTTTGAAATAACTCCTCCATATTTCTGGTCAGGTTCAATTCTATTTAAAGTAACACTGAGTGCCATCAGCTTGTGTGGGGTTGTTGTTGTTGTTGTTACGTGTCATGGAATCGGTTCCGACTCATAGCGACCCTGTACAGGGTTTCTGAGGCCGTAAATCTTTATGGGAGCAGAAAGCCTCATCTTTCTCCAGCGGAACAGCTGGTTGTTTCGAACTGCTGACCCTGAGGTTCGCAGCCCAATTCGTAACCACGAAATCCAGGAGAATTCCCTAAGGCATTCGCAGATTCAGGATAAGCTGGAACTGCATTAGAGCTTCTGGAGCTACTTGAATCTGAACCAAACCAATTTCATGAAAACAACAACACAAAAACCCAAGCTGATAAATTAATGATTTTTTGTTGTTCTTGCAGTTCTTTCTGTGGGGAAGATGGAGAAGCTATTCAGTTTCATCCTTGTCACCACTATTTTGGTAATGGGCCAGGAAAGCTGGGTAAGCTTATTGCAAAAACAATTATTATGTCTGTAATAGCTGCTTTGATCTGAATTTTCTTTAGTTTTTCAGAAAGTCCATAGTAACGTGTCACTAAAAAAAATTTAACTGAAGGGATAAACAAAAATGGTTTGATATATATAGGAGGGACCAGTCGCTGGAGAAGGATATCATGTTTGGTAAGGTGGAGGGTCAGAGAAAAAGAGGAAGACCCCCAGTGAGATGGATTGGCCAAATGGCAGCATTGATGGACTCAAGCATGGCAACAGTAGTGAGGTTGGCCCAGGATCGGGCAGTGTTTTGCTCTGCTGTGCATAAGGTCACCATGGGTCGGTACCGATTCAATGGCACCTAACAACATCAAACAACAAACATCTTTCTGTGACACAAATGGGTCACCATGCGTCTAATAGATGGTAACTAGTAGTGACTTTCTTGGTCTTGAGTACTCAAGACCGTTTATTGCAGCTTCTTGTTCTCAATAACTCCTCCCAAGAGACCCCACCTCTGTAATTCTCTTTCCCAACCCACTTACTTAATTTGCTTTTCATTAGAGAACTTTGCTCAGTCAGATGCCACACTGGATAGGAGATGATAAACTCTTTCATATGTCTTATTTTTTGGTTATTTGCTTTTAAAAATAATGTCTTAACTGGAATATTTCTGGTTCTGCTCATCCTTTTTGTAAATAGCTAAGGGAAAACCACAACAAATAAACAAGAAGCTCAAGTGACTCTCAAGTAGAACAGGTAAATGGGTACAATTCTTGAGATATTGTTGCTGTTATTGTTAGGTGCTGTTGAATTGATTTTAGACTCTTTGCAACCCTATGGGGAGTCCTGGTGTGGCACTATGGGTTAATGCGCTAGACTGCAAGGTTAGTTTGAACTGCAAGGCTGGCAGTTCAAGCTCACCAACAGCTCCTTAGAAACCCTATACAGGGTTGCTATATGACAGAACCTCCCCATATGGTTCCCAAGGCTGTAGACTTTATGGGAGCAAATTGTCTTTTCTCCCTCAGAGAAACCCTGGTGGGTTTGTATGACCAACCTTTAGAGTAGAAACTGAGTGCTTAATCATTGTACCATGAGGACTTCCTCATGGCCATATAAGAGTCTGAATTAACATGCTTTATTAAAAAACCAGCAGCCCTTATAGTTGCTTACTCAGTTACAAACATTCAATTATATTTTTAACACATAGCTATACCAAAAGATTAGTAAAAATCTCATTTGTTTTAGGAATTGACATATTTCTAATGTAACTAACATCTCTAAGGCACTTTAGCATTCAGAAAATACTTAGGTAGTATCATGGAGAGGTTCAGAGCATAAACCTTGAACTGGACTCCAGATGCCTGCTGGGTACTCTTGACCAAATTCTCTCATCAGGATTTAACCCATTCCTTCCTCATGGAATTTTTATGAGGATCGAATGAAACAATGATTAGAAAACTCTTAGAATAACCATTCTGATTATATTGTTTTTATTTCTTTAGTTCTGGAGATTTAGCATGAGTCATAATCTCTTGTTTTTTATTAGCAAATAGTATTGTTGTTATGTGCCGTGGAGTCAGTT